GGGAAAGAGAGAATACCGATTGCAGCATCAGCAAAAGTGTGCATGGGGCAGCACTTCTTTCAAAGCACTTTCCAGATTTGCAAGCTGGTAGTATTTTCAACAAAATTTTGCTGAATACTTGTGCATGTGGAGTTAAGCACAGGCAGGTAGCAGTAATTTTACAGTGAACTGATTTTTCTGATTACTTATCGCTACTGCAAAATGACATTCCTGTTTCACTGCTTTTAATTTGCCATTCTGTTTCCTCACTGATTTTACATGAATTAACTAATCATAGCGAAAAGCTGGGTTAAAAAAACATGATATTTTCTGGTGTCAAAAGAATTTTTAAAAACTCTACAATTGCAGCTGAATGGAGCACTTCACTGACCTCTCTAATCATCCAGCATTTGTGCACTTTGTTACTGCTTTAGAGAGGATGACAACATAAATGCTACGATTATATATATACTGGAAATTTGCCCTTTCCTTTTATAGAAAGCAATCTAAATGCCCTTCAGATATCATTCTCAAAAGCCTGAAGACCTCCTATCTTGCGGTTAGGCTGAAGTTTCCTACCTCTTCTGAAACGTAATAAGGTTTCTGACATTGAGATAGACATCAATTTCTGGGGTGTTTTCAGCAGTTGAACATAACCAGTTTAATCTGTTCACTTCGTACAAGAGTTGTGTATCATCACCAGTAGAATGCTTGTTTTACACGAGATCTGCTAGGTCTAGAGACAAGCCCAAACCAGTAAACGTATAGAATGTTTATATCCCCTCTCTGTGCACGTTCATATTATTACTAGTCACTGCTGCAGTTTTGTTGCCTTCTCATTTTCTTTGCTCTTCAGTCTGTTGGTGGGCTGGCAGATGCCCATCTGACAGATGAGCCACAGCTTAGGAGGGTACTGCCAGGGGGAGGGGCGAAGCTTTAAACCACCTGGAACCAGCAGGGAAATTTTCAGGAGAGACCAGGGCAGGAGCAATGACAGAGGCTGCTGAGTGCCTCCTGCCTGCCTACACCTCCTCGCAAGAACTGAGCAGCAGCGAGACTCTTGTTTCCTTCATGTCTCTATGGACTGCAATAGAAAACCACAGGCCCTTAAGCTGCTTCCCAGAATGGCCCGTGCTAGGGAAGCAGAAAGGCAGTGCTTCAAGTACAAGCACAGTTTTTGTTGAACAATTATCTCCAATTCCTTTAAGAAGCTGGCTCTGCTTGAGTAAACAAGTATATACAAAGTAATGGACAGCTTTCCTTCTCTCAGGCTGAGGAGTGGGAAGATAGGGCAAATCACTCTGAGGCACCTGTGCCATCTGGGCATGTTGTTATATGATCCATATACAGACAGTTCGTCTCCTTTTTTTTCATCTGTATTTCTTAGTGGCTCTTATACTAGCCAGTCTTTTTAGAAAAGATCCCGCACAGTGGGAAGATATTTGTATGACAATAAATGCATCATTGGCTTATTTTGTGTCTTGGTTGTCATTCCTTCTGTATAGCTCCACATAGGTCTTAAAAGGAGGAAGGGTCTATGTTCCATGAGACATTTCATCCAGGGAATGTCTGTGAAGAACAAACTGGGCCACCGCACAGTGTCCAAAAGTCTTTAACCTTCCTAGGGTACTCCTTCTACATGGTGACCTTTTCAGGTCCCATTGCCGGTACAGCCGATGACACTTGTTTACAGAGTAGTGGTGCTGCCGTGTAACACAGCTCACGGGTGGACAATCTCTGCAAGCTTTCTAAGAAACTTTGCAGCAGATTTTCAGTGCGACATTTTGCCATTTCTGCAGCTGAAGTTTCAACTGTGTGAAAATCAGAATGTTAGGCCTCAGTCTTTTCCAAAGATGGATACGAAGCATAAGGTAAATAGTTGCAGCTTCTGTTCACTAATTTTAAAATAAACTGTGCGGTTCCCATAGTATAGGAAAATACAGGACCATACTCTTCTGTCACACTGTTAAAATGGTCTTCACATACCATCCCACTCTCTGTTTTATCTTCCCTTTAAATGGCTTCCATCTAACTGGCATAATGACTGTATACTATCACTAGTCTACAGCATCCATTAGACATCTCTGGCATTTTAATTTGGCACATTTAACAGTCATATGGAGCTCAAATGTGATTCCTTAGCTGAAAATCCAGACTTTGCTAAATCAGAAGATTATTCTTCTTTTTAAAATCACCCCCCCCACCACCCCCCTTGGATAATTATAGTTAGTTTATACAATAAATTCTGTAAGAAATTAAATTTACTTGCATGTTGTAACATGCTATCCACTGTGCTAACCTGCATATCTGTATGGAAAGCTGTTCCACAAAAGGATTTAAACAGTTTTCCCTCACAGTGTATTGTAACCAGGCTCTCAATTACTGATGAAAAGAGAAGAGAAGGATCAGAGGCTGTCTAGTTTTCAACTACTTAAGAATTTGAGTGTATTTTTAGAGAAAATCAACTGGGATATGAAAAAGAGATTTTCCAGGAAATGGATTCCTTTTGTTTCATGTATTTTTTACTTTGTGTAGTCATACCTTCCGTGAATGCAAAACAGCAAATGCAATACTAAGCCAGGGTGGCTCACTTGGAATGTCTTCCAACTAAAATTTTGGTAGGCAACCTAGAATAAAAGCTTGTTTGTCATTGTTCATACCTGAGCTTGGGTTCAGATACAATACGAATCACATTGTATAGCAGCTCAGCTGAGTACAAAACTGTTACTGGATTCTTGTAGCCCAGTGACCAGTTTCAATTCTCTTCATTTGAGAAGTTTGGTCATTTCTGTAAAAGTCTTATGATCCAGGACACTAATTTGTTTAAAGACTTTTTCTTCACGTATTTTTCTTTGATTCAGAGTCATGGGACAATTTGATCATGGAAC